AACTCAAAAGAAAGTTGATTACCTTCCTTACGTCTCGCCAGTTTTCGCTGTTGATTGAAATAGGTGCTCCAAGAAGAACAACTCTTTCCACAAGTTCAGCTGCCAAGACAGACATGTTGAAACCTCCATAAGAAAGGTTCAAACTTTTTTTTTTTCTCTCACATTAAACCAAAAAAGATTTTCTAAGTAACACATGGGAAAATACCGTTTTTTTCTGTCTCGGCAAGAGTTTGGAGGCACTTGAAGATGACACGCGCACCAAGCGAAAATCCCACGAGAGTGATGGGTCTGAATTACAATAATTTGAGGAAATATAAGCAACACAAGACGTAAATTCATGTTTGTGTCAACTTTCTAATACAGAAATCATATTCATTTCCTTGAAGCAATCATAAAATACCTATTTCCTTGCAAGCCTTTTTGTAGCACTTCAGCTAGAAGCCTTCCTGCTTTATCCGACCTAAAGGAATAAGATTATAACAGCCACGGATTTAGTTAGAATGCAAAAACCAAAAGAAAATGTTTCCATGGACACTAGGTGGAGATGCGATGGGTAAATGATGCATCATCTTCGTTCATAGATTGACTACTTTGCTAGGGAAAAGGTATTACCTATCAATAGCAATGCTCCATTTGCTATCTATGAAATCAGCAGCTACTAAGATTGTCGCTGGCCATGCCAATGCTAATAAAAGAGAGCTCAACACAGTGTGCATTGCTCCTTGTTTCATCAATTCCATGGCAAGTCCTGGGGGAAATATTATCGATATCACAATTTATCTTTGGAAAATTGACATTGTTACATCAACATGGTTATTTAGTAGGATGAAAACCAATTACTTGATGTAAGCCAATCCTGAATTGCAGTGCTCACTAAGATAAGATTCTTGGACTCCCATTGCAGCGTGTACCTGAATAGTAAAGACCAGAGTAAGAAGCAAATATAGCCCAATTTTTGAGAATCAAACTCAAACGTGAATGAGAACAGGTAATACAAGGAGCAGCTCCAGATGTTAAATCCTATTTCTTTTTTAAGATACAAAAATTCTCACTCGACATACCTCTCCAAACTGCTAGTTAACCCTTCCCATGGTTTCACAAAATCTTCTTCTTCAAAAACAACACCAGCAACCAAGACTTCCACAGCTAACCGCTGTAACATTGATTTCCACATCAGGGAAAAACGTGGCCCTCAAAAATAGAAATACTCAGAGCAAGGAGATTTCCAAATGGAGGAGGGAGAGGAGAAGCAACCAATATGTCATGCTCCAAAATGCAAAACTATGTTACAATGACCTAGCAGAAGAGGGAAATAGGTACTCACTCCTTGATTATGATTTTCGCCAATAGCTTTAAATTCAAACTCATCAAGGTCCCCAATTCTCCTTGCCATCTTAGTCCCTGTGAGACCAGCTCCAGCAGCTGGATACAAAAACGTTTTAAAAACCAAGCGTATGTGACATTGTAGACGCTGCTTTATAAGGAATTTATATATTGGTGAGGATGAAAGAGAAGCCAAAACACCTAGCGGCTAATTGTAAGCGTACTGATTAATCCATAAACTGCAAAAAGTGAACTCATCTACTCTTATTCACCTCCAAACGATGCTGCAACTGCAACGGAGCCAGCAACAGTTCCGGCAGCACTAGCCGCAGCAGCAAACCCACTAGCTCCAATCACTGGGATAAGTGTGCCCAGTGTTGGTGCCAATGCACCAAACCCTGCAGCAATAGCTGGAGCAGCCAATCCTGTCGAATATAACCCATGTAAATGGAAATCGAATACCAATTCAAAATGCACTCTTATATAGAAGGTTCAAACTATTTGAATCCGCCCTACCACCAGTGATGGCCATCAAAGCACCGCCTGTTAAAGCAGCAGCACCAATGATGCCTCCACGCTTCCACTTAGCCCATGTACTCGTAGGAGACAGAGCATCATCATCCTTCATTTCACCAGACTTCTGAAGGGCCATGGCTGAGCATGCAATCATTGTCTCAATTGCTTCCTAGAAATTGAAAATCCCTAAATGTGAATACATTACAATGAAGAAAAAAATGAAAATAGAGGGTAGCAGGTGTAAAATTACTGGTGCGCCAATTCCATATCCTAACTCAGAGCAAGCTAGCTAATTATTAAAAACAATGATAGCCTGATATTTCACAATGAGCTTGTTATGGGAAGAAATAACTATACGAACCACTTTAATCCACTCAATGTTAAACCAGGTCGCAAGTAAACGCAGAGCAACACGGTGCCGAGCATCATAGCCTTTTCTATGCCGAGCACATTTCTTATCCCCTTGATGTTTATCTGACAAGCAAGCAGAAAGAAGCTCATAAATAACATTTATCTTTCTCTGATGGCTAAGCAATGTTACTTCCTCAACAGATTTGTCTTCTTCAACAACTTCAGGCTTGTGACTTCCATCTCTAATAACTACACCCGCCTCAAGACTCACTGTTTCACCACTATCAGCCGTTTCCTTCTTATCCTTCTCCGCATCTCCATCTTTCGATTTTACCTCAGGGACCGCATATTTCTCACGGCATTCGTTTTCGTATTCTTGATGCTTCTCCTTCTTAGCATCTATAGATACAGAGTTTTGAATGCTTTGCACCATAGCATCAGCAGCTTTAGCTAAAGCCATTTCTAACTCCACCATCTCTGTAGAAGCATCACTCGCTTCTTCTGATAGTAACCTCGTGAACTACAATAAAATCAAACATTGAAAATGAATGAACAATTATAGTATCAAAATCCGAAACACCAAAAGACACATACCGCACCGATGTGGTGCTTAGCCGGAGAAGAATTAGCTGTTTCCTCAAGACCTAGCCAAGCCGATGACTCGATATCAAGACATCTGTGGATAGAAGACGAATTACAAACACATTGAAACCGAGAAACTAATCATAATCGATGAAGGCGATATCGGATTTCCGGAGATCACCTGAAAACTGGTCGAAGAAGACCCGACGTCTCGTGTACCCAAAGGCCAGGGTCATCGGAGACAGAATCTCCGCTACTGCAATTACTTCTCCGGTCATCGGAACGACGATTATTATCACCCTCTTCGTCGTCGTTTTCCGACGCCGGGATCCCTAACGGCTGAGTCTGGTTGATTTGCGCTTGGTTTAGCGCGATTGCAAACAACGCTCCGGCTGCATATCTCTGCGTCGACGTCAAATTCGACGTAGATTCCACCATCGAATCGGAATTTATTCACCGATCAGCCCGAAAAAACAAAGACGAAAGCGAAGAAATCGTTGGAAAGTCAGATCACCGTCAAATTGTTTTTGAAATCTCCGAGAAAGATGAATCCGTGACTATGAATGAGTGCTCTGTTTTGATTTTCTTTTCCGGTCAAATAGCGAAGATACATCTGTCTTCACTCTGTTGACTCATCATTACATAAAACAACGCCGTCAATTGTAAAAAAAAAATTAAATCGCAATTATTAAAAAAGGCTCCGTTGCCGGGACTCGAACCCGGGTCTCTCGGGTGAGAGCCGAGTATCCTAACCAGCTAGACTACAACGGATTTGTGATCTACATTACATTTTGATATTTATATAGCAAAGAGTCTATTTTTGAACATTGCTTATTTCTGCTAAAACATAGAATCTGCATCCTTCTAAATGAGAATTGAGCTCGTGCGTTTAACTACTGCAGAAGTTTCATAGATGAAAGTTTGGAACATACATCACAGTTTACACAGATACAGGATACAAGTTTGCAACATACATCTGATGTTTTATTCTTCTGCTCCACTGAGGGAGAACGTGTGTGGTATGACTATGCGTGTGAGGTGAGACTCTACATGGAACTTCTAAGCACTCCACGGCACTCGGAAAGCCACAAGTCGATGTGTTCTACAATATGTTGCCTTACTTTGTTCACTGCGTCTGGTGAACTGCAATTCTTGGAATCACCTGAGAAAAGAGGACATCATAAATTTTTAACAGTTGTTTCTATACTTGTCTTTTGAGTTCACGAATCGGAAATAAAGAGACAAGTGGTGTGTAATATATACCTTCAATGACCATTGGAGATTGAGGGCATCCTCGAAGATCGCTTCCATGGCCACAGTTGTGACAAGTGATGATGTAAGAGGGCACTGTGTCGTCAAGTATTAACTTGTTAGTACTCCCACAGATTAAGCCTGGGTTAATGTTATGTGGTTCTGATCACAGTAAATGGACTTACGGTCAGGAGATGAGGTCTGTTTGGATGCATGACGCCATGGATCTTGTGACCCATTTGTGAAGATGATCTTGGTTGCTGCAAAATTGAGAATAACAAGACCGGAAGAAACTGTTGGAATGTGCGAAAGAGTAAGAGGACTATCAAGCAGTTTTTTCGGTGTTACATACCAGCAATTCTATCACCTCCATAGTACAAGTTTGTTGCATCGACTTCAGGGTACACACCTTTTCCAAAAAGAGTCTTGCATAGGTCTAAATGATACCTATGAAAGTATGAGAAAACAACATTTGTAAGGAGGATGGTGAAGAGAAATGATATTTGAATGTTTCATGATTGCAATGAAGCATGTACTCTGTATTGATTAGCTGAGACCGGATGCTATCGTTTGCAGGCGCCACCTGGAAATACGCAACTTCAGTGCAAACTTGGAACCACCAAAGCCGATCTGAACTCTCTGTGGTGACCGCAGTGTCTAGCAGATGATTCCGGTTATATGTTTTAGCACTTAGGCCAAAAACTCCCACGCAAAACTCTCTATAATATTTAGCATATGCTTCCTGTATTTACACACCCAATATATAAGTGTCAGCAAAAACAAAAAAAATCATATACATACACACCAGCTTAAGCAAAACAGGGAGAAAAATCAAAGTTACCACTAAATCACCACTGTTCTTCTTAGCTTCCACGAGTGGAGCACATAGTTTATCTGGATTTCCGTATTGGAACTGCCAAATTTTGAAGATAAATATCTAAAACTAGAAAGAAGATGAGAATCATATTAATATTAGTATAACACATATGCATATCCTTACCGCCATAACTTCTGCATCCGCTACCAAGTATAAGAAATCAGCATCGACATTGAGCTGCAGATTTCAGAGACTTAATTAGACTGGAGACACACATTTTACTTCCATAGTTGTTTGGATTCAAAGAAGAGAAGAGACAAACAACAAAGCTAGACCTCGGTGGCATTGAAAAGAGCTTTCACAGCCTTGTTATTTACTTTAAGCCCTAGTTCCAAGAGTTTATTAGTCTCTTTTAGTGCAGCTTTACATTCCGGTCCAGCCGACTCACCTATCTGCTCAATAAAAGCTTGATTCTATCAGCAACTAAACACTATATGAAAAGACACAACATGTCTTCACTTGAGTTTAATCTCATAACAAAGGTTTTACTTTTACCTGTTGATCAAATTCAGTGAATTCATAAACAGCACGAACAACAGCGGAACTAGCAAGGCTTCCACAGGTCAAATGAGGGAACTTAAGCCGGAACCAAGCACTCAAAGCTCCAGAATAAGATGCTCCGAAGAAGAACCACGGATTATCAACCTTGCCAGTTTTATTAAACTTAACATTCAACGATTCCTGCATCCAACAACAAAATCCCAAACACATGCTCATTGAATTATACACGCAGCTTCTAGAGCATAGAAACCACAAGACTGCTTGCCTGATAATATTGACGGAAAGCAGCTAAATCGAAAAGGGCTTGTTTAGATGAAAGATACTTGAGATTCTCAGTGGCTAATGAGTTAAAAGGTGAACTCTTTCCGTAGTAACGATGCTCGAGTGAAACAATTCCAGCTTCAAACTTCTTTGCTAACACCTGAAGAACATGTTTATGAGGAAATCAAGTCAATTTCGAGAAATTATCGATGCTAATCAATCAAACGAATAAGTTATTATGAAAATTCTTACACTTATATAGTCATTAGGGATTCCATTACAAGGGCCTTCACCGCAGATCATCAGAAAGATAGGTCCGTCTGGAACTCGTAAATGGTCAAGATATTCATAGTATCGTTGTCCGAATTTGCGATGATCCTGAGAAAGAAAGAAACAATTTCAATTCAACAATCTAAATATAAACCCAGACAAGTTACTATTTATGGATTTTGCAGCGAAATCCGAAATCGAAAACACAGAATCTAAGATTTCTCTTTGACCCTTTGAATCGGATTCCCGATTTCAATAACGCAAGATTGAACTAGAAACGAAATCGGGAAGATTGATTACATGTGGAGAGTAGTGGTCTAGGGTTTGATTGAACCAGAGCTCATCCCTCGTCAAGTACTTGCCGCTTTCTGACAAACCATGAGAAATCCTTCGAGGTTGCAGTAATCCATGAGACAAGCTCGCATAAGACAAGAGCACCGTGAAGGTGATGAGTAAAGCAAAGCAAATCTCCGACGACATTTCTCGCCGTCAAAGTTCGATCTCCGGGAAGTTAAAAAAAAAAAAAAAAGGGACAACAAAATATGATTTTTCTCTGTTTTATTTTCCTTTAACTTACCAAGGACGACAATATAATGATTAGAAAAATGTTTCCCGAATTTGTAACAAAAATCATTTAAAAAAAATACGCATAGACTATAGTGCGGATTTCAAATTTATCTAAAGAAACATTATTTTATATATTTGTTTCGGCTTCTTCGTCTTCTTTAAAAACTTTAACTTTACTCATTTTGCTTTGACTGTTTTCATTCTCTCTCTCTCTCCAAAAAACCACACTCATGGCTACACTTCTCTCACCTTCTTCGAGCTAGTTTCATTTTCGTTCAGATCTATGACCATGGAGAAATCTCTGTTCTTCCTTTTCCTGGTGATCTACGCGCCGTTATTCTCACGCGCCGATGATTCTCATTCCGAGATTGACTCTCTCACGGCGTTTAAACTCAACCTCCATGACCCTCTCGGTGCGTTAACTTCTTGGGATCCTTCAACTCCATCGGCTCCATGTGACTGGCGAGGCGTTGGCTGCACTAACCACCGTGTTACAGAGATCCGTCTCCCTCGTCTCCAACTCTCCGGACGAATCTCCGATCGTATCTCCGGTCTCAGCATGCTACGGAAGKTTAGTCTCCGGTCAAACTCCTTCAACGGTACTATCCCTCCTTCACTCGCGTACTGCACGCGCCTACTCGCCGTCTTCCTTCAGTATAACTCACTCTCCGGGAAACTACCACCGGCGATGAAGAATCTCACTTCCCTTGAGGTCTTTAACGTCGCCGGAAACAATCTCTCCGGTGAGATCTCCGTTGGTTTACCGTCAAGCATCAAGTTTCTTGACATTTCGTCGAACACTTTCTCTGGTTCAATACCGAGTGGACTCGCTAACTTGACTCAGCTTCAGCTTCTAAATCTCTCGTATAATCAGTTAACCGGTGAGATTCCGGCGAGTTTAGGTAACCTCCAGAGCTTAGAGTATCTTTGGCTCGATTTCAATCTCTTGCAAGGGACATTACCTTCTGCGATCTCGAACTGTTCCTCTATTGTTCACTTGAGTGCGGCGGGGAACGAAATCGGCGGTGTGATTCCCGCCGCGTACGGTGGTCTTCCTAATCTTGAAGTTCTTTCTCTCTCTAACAACAATCTCTCCGGTACTGTCCCGTTTTCTCTCTTCTGCAACACTTCGCTTAGGATTGTTCAGCTAGGGTTTAATGATTTCTCCGACATTGTAAGGCCTGAGATGGTTAACTGTCGGACTGAGTTACAAGTCTTGGAACTCCGGGAAAATCGAATCTTTGGTCGGTTTCCGATGTGGTTGACGAACATTTCGTCGTTAACGAATCTTGATGTTTCTGGTAACTTGTTTTCCGGTGAGACTCCTCCGGAGATTGGTAACTTGAAGAGATTAGAAGAATTGAAGTTGGCTAATAACTCTTTTACTGGTGATATTCCTGTTGAGATTAAGCAATGTGGTTCTTTAGGGGTTCTTGATTTCGAAGGGAACCGATTCACAGGGCAGATTCCAGAGTTCTTAGGGTACATGAAGGGATTAAAGGTTTTATCTTTAGGTAGAAACAGCTTCTCAGGTTATGTTCCTTCATCTATGGTGAATCTGCAGCAGCTTGATAAGCTAAACTTAGGTAGAAACAACTTGAATGGGAGTTTTCCGGTGGAGTTAATGGCGTTGACGAATCTTTCTGAGTTGGATCTTAGCGGAAACCGGTTTTCCGGGGAAGTTCCTGTGAGTATCAGTAACTTAAGTAAC